GTTATGGAGGCGTCTGGCCGAGTGAGTTGCTATCAACTTGACCTTTCCAGGCTCTGAGGAAGGCGAAATTCGCCGAAACGCCAGCTTAATCGAGAACAAAGAATAGTAAGACCTCGCGTTTGCTCAACAAAAATACGAAGAAAATCACTTGATCAATGCCGAGGTTAATAGAAAGTCGGTCGGGGCAGTTACTCCTATTTGTATATTGATGGAACTAACCTGAGCTCTAGCAAACGGAGCCGTTTGCTGCTTGCTCTCGACTGGGCAGCTGTACATGCGATTGATTTTCGCCAGGTCCACGTCGCTGAAGTCTTTTGCATTACCAATTGTCGCAGCTATAATTCCAACTCTTATCGAAATCCTCCACACATTATCTTATTTTGTTTTTGTTTTGTTTTCTTCCTCACTTATGATACGTGTATTTATCGTCTCAGGTCTTTTGAAACCTTCATTGATGTCAGGACTCCGAAATCAAGGCAGAAAACCTAAATCCACTATGAAATCGCTCATAGTCGATTTTTCTCAGGAATTATGGTGTTTGGAAACGCATACTTATAAAGACTTTGACGAAGGTGAATACACGTGCCTGTTATTTTATTAATCGTTACCGAACGATTTTTTTGGGTTGTACTTGCTTTGACACATTTACATTGTATGGATACTTACTTGGAAACTTGGATAGCCCGTCCTCACTAGTTGTGCGGGCCCCAGCATAATCACCGTTTTTCGGAGATTTGCTGGTTAAGCCATTGTGGTTCCCCGGAGTCCTTGAGGTCGGCCTGGTCAGAGTCTGCCCCAGGTTGTCACCACTACAGATAGACGCTGCCCTCGTGGGTCAGAGGATTTGCCACCATGCGACTAATTTGGTACTAAGACATTGGTATTGGTATTCAGATATTCGTTTATTCTTAGCTAGGTTTCTTGATGGAAAAGCCGGTCTCCTTCTAAGCTTGGAGACTCCACCGGGGGATGAATCCCCTACTTTACATTGCATTCTGACGCCCAGGAACACGTCTCAGCCACGATGACGCGGTAAACCGTTGGGAGGTCACATTGTGTGGCCAGTACTATTTCAATTTTCCCTTCATTAGTAGAATCCTTCCGCCGGAGTGCCTTGTGGAGTGTGGGATAACGATGGGGTACGTCGAACCGCAAGAATGAAAGACTGTTATTGTCAAAGACAGTTTTCATTCCAACAACAATGACCTAATGGTCCTCAACTTCATCAAAGGAAGAAATCGTCGGCAAAGTTCGTTGTCCAATTCTTAATTTAGTCTAATTACTGCATAATATCCAGTACAAGTCACTGATCGGACTACCGTTTGTAAATGTATCCGCGACGGTACAGTTCAAAAGTACCCGATATCCAACTGCATCGGTCGGCCAATTAATCACAGAAGTAGCTGTGACCACAGAAATCGTTGCCGTTCTGGAAGAATTTTTTCATAAAGCGGTGAATTACCTTCTGATCTGTCTGTTGGGAAGTACCGGTAATACTGTATCACGGCTAGTTCGACATTCTAACGGAAATCAGGCGTAATCAGTATTCACCGGTGAAGAAAGAATAACACAAATCCTCAATGCTCCCTTCAGCCTTTAATTTCCTCGGATTAGGACGTAAAATCTCAGCTTCTCTTTCTCAAAAACTGAACCTTATAAGTCGCACGTGTAGCTAAACATTAGAAAGCGAGCTGTTCATAGGCGATACTATCTTTGAAAAAATGGAGAAAAGGTGTTCATCACCTACACTTTTGCTTTGGCAGCATCGTTGGAAAGCCATTTTTACTGAACGCCAAGCTGTCGTAATGCAGAATTGATTTGTAGTCGTACGGTTGCCCGTAATATGACGTTTTGCTCAGATCAACCTTGCCAAACTGATCCAGTGCTCCTTAATTATTTATTATTGACTAAGTAAGACAGATTGGAAAAGTTTACAGTTATTTGCAATTAAGTGTCCGAACACACACATTGTTTGAATGCTCGGATTGCCCTCTTCACAACGAATCGTGCGAGACTCAGTACATCTTCTACCTGCCTAGTTGATGATTTGACTCGTAATTTTTATATCGCGCAGAATTTTCTTTTCCTGAAATCTCCGAATAGGTGTACTAGGGCTTTCCCAGGTCGTCATTGCAGGCAGCAGCTGGCTCTTGGAGGGATTAGAGATAGACTTGAAGAGATAGACCGTCATTAAAATGAGACATTTCCTATTAGTACACATACAGTTACCCTATACTTGATACTCGTATGGCCCGCCCTTACTGGTTGTGTGGGCACCAGCATAATCTCCATTTTCTGAGATTTGCTGGCTAAGCCATTGTGGTTCCCTGGAATCCCGAGGTCAGCATGATCAAAGTCTGCCCCAAGTCTTCACCACCACAGGCAGTCGCAGCCCTTGTGGATCAGAGAGAGATTTGCCACCATGGACTTTGATACCAGGACGGTGGTGGATCCTGGTATTGGTTTACTCTTAGCTAGGCTTCCTGATGGAAACGCCGGATTCCTTCTAATCTTGGGAGACCTTGCCAGGTGAAGAATTCCCCGCTGTAAATCGCAGTCCAACACCCAGGAACACCTCCAATCCATGATGAGGCGGTAAATCGTTGGGAGGATTACTACACATATACGACCATCATTTCTAGGGGTTAGCAACGTTCTGTGCTAGTGAGAAATGCAGTTTTCGTTTCTTTTTTCACAAGTATTTTGAAACGTTGAATGAAACGAAACTCAGTTTTTGGGAATTCACATTAAAGCAGATTTCTTTTGTCGTTTAGGATCACTCGAAATTGAAGAAGGAATAAAGAAGAGATTTGGAGGAGTGTATAATTTCTAGACTGGATAAGACTACGAAGAATCACAGCGCAGGAAAGAAAACTGCTGTACCCATTCAACTCGAATCATTTCAGCTCTGAAGAAGGCGAAAGGGACGAAATGTTAACCACAACGAAGGTTTGTGAAAGTTTCGTGTAAACTTGCCAATAAAGCAATACATTGATCATACATGCAGAGGTTAAACGAAGTTGCTACTGAAAAAAAATGCGTAGGAAGTAACCTGCAATACAGTCAGTCAGTGGTTCGATTTCATGCATCGGATTCACTAAGCCTTTCATCTTTCCGCGGTCGGCAAATTAATAAGACTTGCCATGAAAGGTAGCACCTCTTATTTGAAAGACCATCACAAGAAATTATAAAGGAGCTCTGTTCAACCACTCAATGAATTCGAATGCTTGGCGCATCTATCAGCGATTAATCAAACCCGAATGCTTTACCTTCATGCGAAAGGCAACAGAAGCACAAATTAAAAAGGAAGTCACATAGATGCTCCGCGAAATCTGTGGATGACGATTGCTGACAACGCAAAGCATGGAAAAAGTGCTGCGACTCACACAACACGTGAAAAGCATTATCCAAGCATTCCAGAATGGTAGTTTCAGATAGAACTACTTACAGGGAATTATTAATTCACGTAAAATATTACCTCGATCAATATTCTGCCAGATGATGTCAATAAAGTTGTCACGGTCCCATCGCTCTAAATTCTCCATGTAAAAATGTGTTCCATGTTGTGAGATATTCATGTGGTGGAACACCACTCTGTTCTTATCCCATACGCTTATATCAAAATATAGGATATTAAAAAATCATTAAAAAAACACATTTCTGTGAATACAAAAACCGGAGGCCTAGAGAATCTTAGACTGTCGAAATTTCCTTTTCAATTCTATGCGAACGACATCTGAAAGCGTAGTGTAGTTTATCCAGAACCGATAAGTGGTTCCGTGCACACAACACCACAACGATTTGCTCCCACCTCGAAAGCGGATGCCATTGAATAAGCGAAAATACGCATTCATAACCTTGTTCAGCAGCGACGATTCCTTGTTTGAGTGGGACTACAGATTCTCTCTTCAGGTTAAGTTTTGGTTTCCAGACTTTCAAGGTTATTTTTTGTCATGTTTTTTCACAACATTTCTTATCTATCACATCACCTATTAGAGTATCCAGAAAGGGCACTGTACTTGAACCTTACGCCCTAAACTGTTGTTCATTAGTAAAATGCCTTTGTTCGGTACAGAAGTCCAATCAGCTGCCCATCATGAAACAAAACCGAAACGATAACTTCAACACCATGGGTCATCGACAAGTTGGTTTGCTAAGCGGTCGAAAAAGAAGCGACGTATGTCAAATATACTACCGTATACAGTTTATGTGATAATTTAAACATTTACTTAACCTATGAGAAGTTCTGAAGTATTCTTGGTAAAATTTTCTCTCCTTTTCTTTTTACTCATTGTAATTCACCATTTAAAGAAGTTCAGCTTCATAACAAAAAGTAGTAGGTAAAAAGAAAAGAGAAGGTAAAAGAAATGATTCCCAAAAGAGGAGGAAAAGGTGACGAATGCTAGCGGTAAGTGAGGGACAAATGAATGGAAATTGTAACAATAGCCGTAATTTAAAGCGTTTTTTGTGAGATTCAGTGGCTTAAATATGAGTTGATGTTCTTTTACACACTGCTAGATCCGGTATGTAAACCATCGTCAGTAGCGATACGCCAAATAAAAATACGTTACTTTCGTTTTCAAATCGAAACTACCAAAATCATTTCTAATGAGACTTTTCAACAAAAAGGATCTGATGTAGATTTTCACACCGTGTTCATGATAGAATCCGATGACATGCATCATTTCATGAATGATTGTGGCATATTCCATACATCCGTTGTCCAACGACAGCACCTGTACTCCGGACGTACGACCCACTTCAGAAAAACACCTATAACGCACTGATTATTGCTCGGTCGTGTCAGTCGTTTTTATTTCGTCTATGCTTTTATGACACCGATGTCGATTGCCTAATGCGTTTGCCGAAAGCTGTTGACCACCGGTGGATTTGAGTAAATTACACGAAAATGCAAAACATGACACAGTTGTTGATCTTGCTGGCTTTAATGGCAATCGATGATCGGATAAGCGGAAACAGGTCCTCGGTGGTGATCGATCGCGTGCGTATTTGGACGCGATTCCACGGCTATCGTTATCTTTGCGGCTTTTCTTTGCAACACTTAAAATCCGGCGTGAATTGTGTTCCATTCATACATGGGGCGTACCTATCGCAATGGTTAACGATGCCCTTTAGCACACATACATACCGTAATTGGTTTGATACCACACCCAGGATGACCAGGCTGCCTATCCGTGCAACTAGAGCAGATTAGCACCGATCTATTTCAGTGCAATAAAAACACACACGCTTGATACATCGGTAGCCCACCTATTAATTACATAGTCGAAATTTCAGTCACCTCTGCGATGCATAATGTGGTTGGATGCATGGCGCAATGGTTGACTAATCTTGAACACAAGTTTATCCTTTAACCTTCACAAGTGGGCCACGTAAACTGATGTCAGCTCATTTATTCCAGTCTTTGCGACATGGAGGTCTTTTGCTGTATTTCTTATATTAAATCGATATTTATCCAATGCAAACCACTGAATCAGGTGGCTGTTCAGAAAGGCTATTCTCTGCACTTAGTGATGGGTAAAAAGTGTTTTTACAGGGCTACTTCTTCGTAGGTCCAAAACTATCGTGAAGAAGACGCTAAGATAGCGCGAGTATCATAGATGAAGATAATACCACTATATCCACGCGTCCCATGATTAATCGCCTTTTATTCCAGCAGAGTTACATAAAGACTGTTGCTAATGCTAAGGGCTTACATGACACGCAAGTGAGAGGGGAGTTAGGCTGGTATGAGCCGATTTCAGCTCAAATTGTGTAAGTTGAGCGTGGAAACCCAGGTATTAACGTTGTACAGGATCGATAGTTGTAAGCAATTGTTCACTGCATTGGAATACAGCTACATGTCGATAATGCGCCGAATAAACTGCATTTAAAGTAGTTCCCACGATCGACTTTCTGTTAACCTTAGCATTGATCAAATAACTCCTTATTCTCTTGTTGAGCGAAATTTTCGCATTTAAAGTCTTCGAAGTGTTCGATTTAGCAGCTCGATAAAACAGGGAATGATGGTGAAGAAGAAAACGCAGCAGACGGTAGATTCGTAGTCTGAAGCCTACTAAATACTGAACATTCAATTGAAAAAAAAACCTATTAGAACAATGGAGTATTCGACTGACTCCAGAAATGCCTCGGATATGACTTACCCGTCGACTTTACCAATGAAAAGATAATCAGGTTCGCCACCGGATCGCGGCACGAAACGAATACACGTCTTCTCGTGGTACTGCAATTTCATAACGTTATTCGGAAAACCTCATCGGCAAGTGCTGGATAAGCCATACCTAAGGAAATGTGAACTAGAGAGAAAATTTTTTTTTCAGCCGATCTTTCTAGAAGGCAACCGTTGCTAAAAGATGAGTTGGTTCCAAGCTCAGAAATACGTAAAGGTGGAAAGATGGGAAAGAGGTGAAACGTAGGGAACAGAACTAGTAGTGATAAAAATAACGATAGCTGTGCTATTTGTTAAGGTTCCCCAAATGATGTAAGTAATAAAAAAAAACGCTTGTACAGCAACTGATAACTTGTGTCGACTTGCCAGTATAAATAGGCGAGCACGAACCGCCTATTGGCGAGTCGCGATCTAGCTGAATTAGTTGCGTTAGTCATTCCTCTCACATAATTACTCTTTTCCTTAACTCGGATTGCAGAGCGAAGCTGCACTTTCTCGATAGATCGGTGGTAGAAAAAAGTGTTTCTGATTTATCCGAACGGAACGAGAACATTTAATGAATGACAAAAAGGCGCTCGTGGGAGACTAAATTCTTTTACAACCAGTTTAAAATTAGATTACTATTTTTCTTAAATTTACACTCCCAAATATGATGCATATCTGGACCACGAAATTTGGGAAAACATAAGCGAATTGGAGAACTTAACTGACAATTAGGGAACTTGAATACTCAAAGTCAGTCACTCAAGAAGTAATTCAGGCTCTGTGGTCATGATCGTCCACAATTCCTGTTCTCTCGGTCTTTTCAGGACTCCATCCAGGCTCATCGGATCTCATCGTGCTGCATTTCGTTTCATTTCCTCGATTTGACCAAAAAAGATTATCCAGCACATGCTTGCCATGTCATCTATGAAGGTCCAAATCTCATGAATAGGAATTCCAGCGTATCCGGTCCATTACTAACCTCGAAAGAGTTTATATTCCTTCTTTTAAGATTCCCTCATTACTCACCATAAAGTACGAATGATTGGGAAAAACCAACTCTTTTTTGTGGTACCCATCCGATTTCGGATATGAGAGGATGTTGTTGTGCGTTCAACAATTTCTACAGCAGGAAGGTGACCTGTTGGACAAACGATCACTTCAATGATGCTGAGATATTTGCAAAACTCCTGACCGCAGGTGTATGCGGTGGGGAACGAACGCGCTGTAGTCCTTTCCGGGGAGTAGCGCGCTCACCACCACACCATGCAGGTCCTTTGTTTTGCCTGTCTTTCAGCTAGTTCTATCATTCTTTTGCCATCAGCAATCACCCGTCAACGGGATTGATTCTGGGAGCCCAAATTGGCAACGAACCCAGTTAAGCTGAGGCTGCAGTTATAATCACAATTTTAACATATTATTTACTGTCTACTCTTTTTAACGGCAGGGTATAAATTGCGAAATACAACTTTAATGATGCTGGGATATTTGCAGAACTACGGACCGCAGGTGTATGCGGTGGGGAACGAACGCGCTGTTGTCCATTCCGAGGTGTAGCGCGCTCACCGCCACACCATTCGAGTCCTTCGTTTTGCCTTCCGCATGGTGTGGTGGTGAGCGCGCTACTCCCCGGAAAGGACGACAGCGCGTTCGTTCCCCACCGCATACACCTGCGGTCCGGAGTTTTGCAAATATCCCAGCATCATTAAAGTTGTATTTCGCAATTTATACCCTGCCGTTAAAAAGAGTAGGCAGTAAATAATAAGTTTAAACGATCACTTCATCTAGAGCATCGCAAATCCTTATGATAGTTTTGGATTTAAAACGATGTTGTGAGAGTTTCGGGTGGGGTTCGGACGAAGTGGAGACGAACCTGCTTGACGGCTCGAGCTAGCAACGCACGCTCATACGGTGTATAGTGGGGAGAGATCGCGTATGGAATTCGAGCACCTGGCCAGAGTTTCGCCACTCGTGAGACACCGTTCCGCTAAATATAAAACAACAACTGTTAGATTACATCTATTAAGTCGTCTAATTAGTGATCTATGAAAAAACAAAGAAACAAACTTTTACGGATCTATTTGAAACACTAACTGCCGGGAAAAAGTTGCAACGTTGCTATGAACACGAGTCGTGTAGTCGAAAAGGCAACAAACATCATGTGGCTTACCTTCGAACGTTTTTGCGATGTTGATGGTTTACGAATGTCCGATCGGAAGTCGTTCACCACTTCCACTGGGATGTGCTTACCGTACACTTCGTCTGAGAAAAAGGAATTGGATGAGGGCAACGTTTAACACAGAAACCCAAGTTATTATTTAAATTTACCTCCATATATAAAAATAACATCGCTTTAGACGGGCTTAGAAAACATCGAAATATATTTCTGCAAATTTTACTCCACATTTATATACACGCATTTATATATTAAGGTACCGGACTTCTCTGAGAAAAAAAATCACTCTGCAATGCAATTGGGAACGCTTCAACCCAGCTATCTCAGAACCCCAGGGAGAATTGCTCGACCAGCATTCTGTAACATTTACGATGAAATCAAAATCGTCAAGCAGCGACGGAAGCCACACTTGAAAGTTGGAAGATCTTCGTGCACAATGGATGCGAGGAAACGAATCGAGTGTGAGAAGTGCTGGGATCCGCACAGTAGACGTGAAGACGGATCATATAAGAAATAGAAAATATATAATGTTCGCCTTTTGTTTTCTCTCTACAACTTTCACGGCTAGGTATTACGCGAAACACAACCACAACTATGCTGAAATAACGTTGCCGAGATATTTGCAGAATTCTGGACAGCAGGTGTCTTCGGTGGGGAACGAACGCGTTATTGTCCTTTCCGGGGAGTAACGCGTTCACCACCACACCATGCGGGTCCTTGGTTTCGCCTGTCTCTTAGCTATTTCTACCGATCTTTTTGCCACAGCAATCACCCGTCAGCGGGGTTGATCTGGGTAGCCCAAATCGGCACAGAACCCAGTTGAGCTGTGGCTGTAGTTGAAATCCCCGGAAAGGACAATAGCGCGTTCGTTCCCTGCCACAGACGCCTGCGGTCCAGAGTTTTGCAAATATCTCAGCAACGTTGTGGTTGTATTTCGCTTAGTAACCTACCATAAAAGCTATAGAAGGCAAAAAACAAAACGTTAAACATTGTAAAAATATAATAAATACGAATAAAAATATAATGCTGTGATAAGATGATTTTCTTCGTATTTTTGTTGAGCGAACGCGAGGTGTTACTATTCTTTGTTCACGATTAAGCTGACGTTTCGGCGAATTTCGCCTTCTTCAGAGCCTGGAAAGGT